GATAGCGCATCGGTGCTCCGGTCGAACTTCGTTCCAAGGCCTCCTTTCGAAACCCCAAAAAACCTCCTTTCGAGCACATCGTTTTCCCCGGCACTGCAGCGGTGTGGGCACCTTCGTTTTCAGGCCACTTGACCTTGGCGGTGTGGCTCATGGAGCAAGGCGCGTCTCGCACCGCTCCCCGAGCTCGGTGGTCCGTTTCAAACGGGTTTTTGGGAGCCGAACGAGGCGCGATGGACCTGGCGAACTATGAGGGCGAGACCGTTCTCATTTGGGCCAGCAAGGAAGGCAGGGAGTGCGGTGTACAGCTGTTAGTGGGAGAACTCGAGACCATGTGGGGCCCTTAGGTCCCCATCGGCCTGACGTGAACGTCGCGCCTCGTGCGAGGCCGCCTCGAGCTGTGCCGTTGGCTCTGCGGGCGCGGCAGCGCGGCCAACGCGGTGGATGCTTACGGAAACACGGCCCTGCTGTGGGCGATCCGGGAAGGCCAGGCAGCACCGAAGGCCAAACGGTAAATCCGTCCAGCCGAATTCGGTGTGAAGTGATGAGAGATGAAAAAGACTTTTCGATTCCTTGGTGAATGGCTGGAAAAAACTCTTCTGTTTTGGTGCGCCGATTTGGTATTTCAGCACCCAGCCATCGATTCGTTTGATGCGGCATCGATTCGTTTGGAGCTCCCAGCCGGTCTGCGCATATGGAAGACCGGTGACGCTGGGTTGGAATCATCTCTGACGCATGGATCGCGGGGAAAGTCAACAAGTATTCGACTCCAAAGAGAACACAAGTGCCTTACTACTATAGAAACAAGTGCCTTACGACTAGTAACAAATGCCTTACTATAGTAGTAACAAGAAGCTACTAGAAACAAGTGCCTACTTCAAGTACGACCGCTTTTCTACCACCGCTGTGCCACGTGTTTTTTTTTTCAGGCCACGTGGACGTGGTGCGATGGCTTCTCACGCGCGACGTGGATCTCGAAGCCGTGGATCCGGACGGCTGCACCGCCCTGGCCTGGGCGGCCAAGCGAGGTGCGGCGAAGCACGTCGGCGCGGAGACGCGAAACGAAGCGCGTCGATTTCTCAACACGAAGATCCTCATGACTAGTTTAGGACTGGTTAGCGTTCAGGTGGGCTACGTAGTACTGTCAGGTCTGGTACCAAGTGACTGTCCTGCCAAGATCAAACGGATCGATCCGGCCTCAGGACGAACTGAGATGGCAGAGGCTTTGTTGGAGCATGGGGCTTGGGTGAATTCCAAGGACAAGCACGGGTACACCCCCCTGGTGTGGGCTGCGAAGACAGGCGCGGGAGAGACACCCATGGCGTACTTGAAGTGTTCATCGTGCGTCTCATGGACACCATGTTGGGCTGGGGGGCCGGAGGGCCACCCAAATTCATGTTTGAGGTCTTTCTTTCAGCAGATAGATGGCTGTCAACATCTTTGTAGCTGTGATTCCGGGTTTGGTCGTCGATCCGTGCTCGAAATGGCAGAAAGATGGGTTGCGGCGGCATGACCGAGCCCGTGCTCCAGGAGACATGATCACGGTGAAGCTGTTGATTGAAAAGGGTGCCGACTTGTTGGGCGCGACGTCCAACGGCACACCCTATTTCAAGGTCTCCAACTACGCCAACATCAACGAATACATCTTCCTGAATCGTTTCTTCGCCATGGCCGTGCCCGCCCTGCTGATCGTCGCCTTGGCCTCACTGGTGGGTCTGGGCGCCGCCCTCGCGCAGCAGCAGCTCCTGGCCCTCGGAGCCCACACGCAGCAGCTCCTCCACCGTCCGCCGCCCACGCCGCGGACGCCGCGCAGCGCACCGAGCGGACTGTCGGAGCGGCGCGACGGGCTGGACCCCGTGGTGGACTTCTCCCACGGCGCCGCGCTGCGGGACGCCCGGGACGAGAAGAACCGCTTCCTGCTCTACTGGGGATATGTGGGACATGCCACGGAAGTGGAAGTCATGGCGATTCTGATCTTCGGCTTTGGAATGGGTCCCTTGGAGCCCCTTTGGGTTTTGGGGGGCGGTTGTTTGCGGTTTGCAGATGTTTGCAGTTCACCAAATCCATCCATGAACGGATGAAAGGAACGGATGTCGCGTGTGAGGCGTCGTTTGGTGGGTTTATTGGTTGCCCTTGCACCTCTTCCTCTATGGCGCTCTCAGTCTGCAGCGCTGGCGCATCACGCAGCTCTGGTGCTCGCCCTCGCTGCTGCTGACCACCGAGCCACGCTTCCGAGCGCTGATGGCCTCGCGGAGCCTCTTCCTGTTGGCCGTGGCCGCTTGGGAAGGAACGACCAGGGATGGGGTGCCGGTTTCGCAGATCCAAGAGATCCATGGTGGAAACATGGCGCACACCATGTGAACAGTTTGGTAGCGGTGGAGTGCTGTCGCTTTTTGGGGAAGGTCGGACAAAAGAAACATGGAAGGTCCCTCCATGTGTTTTGTTCGATCTTTCTCCACCGACTCGGTGGCGTTTTGGCGAGGGCGGCGGGGCGTGGGGACCTGCGTTTGTTTTCCGTTTCGGTCACCACTAAAGACCTCGAGGACAAGACTGAAGGATGCGCGGATGCTATGCGGATCTAGGCGGTATGTATGGAAATGTCGTGGAAATGGTTCATGGCATTCATGGCATGATGCCCTCCGCGTGAGGTGTTTTTTTGGGTTCCCCTTCTTATTCCTGAACTTCTTCTGACCGTCTTCAGGTGCTTTGGTCGGCGAGGCCGGAGCACTGCGGAGAGCCGACGCTTTTGACCTGGGCGAGGTATCTCTGCGCAGCGCCCACGTGGTCCTTGCCGTTGGCGGATCCTGACTGGGCTCAGCTGCTGGTGAAGCAAACCATGGTTTGGGACCGCGAAGCGGCCTCAGACATCACAGGACGGCTCAACGACTCGTTGGGTTGATGAAATCTCAATCTGGTTCGTTGCTTCGACAGGCGGCCTTGACTGAAGTTTCCAAACCAGACCACCGCCAAGTGTCCTAGAGAGACTTTTGTTGCGGCAACTTCTTTCATAGCCCTGGTGCCGAACCAGCACCCAGCTGCACAACGTGGCATGCGTCTCCAAAGGAGTCGCGTTAGAAGAACTTAGCCGGTCATGTTCCTTCCTGAAGACTTCGAAGTGATGAGTGTGGTCAGTCTAGTGTTTTTTCTGTGAAATCTCCGCAGGAATGTACTTCCTGATGCTTTTCTTGGGCCTGCTTTTCTACGTGCCATACAACATCTTCATGATCCTCCGAGGGGAACAGGGCTCCGTCTTCCACAAGTTTCAGCCGATGAGACTGGACAGCGCCAGCGAAGAATTCAAGCGGAAGCTGTGGATGGAAGTGGCACTTCTTTTGCTTGATGTGCTTTTGCAATTCAATACCGTGCCTCATCTGCAAAACCGTTCTTTTCAATCTGAAAGAAATCACCTCAAATGCCAAACCCAGCAAGGGTGACTTGAGGGGATGTGCTTGAAAGTTAACAAGAGTTTTCTCGGGAGGGATGTAGCGGGCTTTGTGCCCGCACTTGGAGGTTTGCATCCTTCTTTGGACCAATCTGCCGAAATTGGCCTTCTTGTTGACCTGTGTCATCAGCAGGCACGTTGCGCCGCCCAAAACGGAGGTCTGACATCGCTTTTCCCAAAAAGCCGGCCAGGTCGCTGTCGCTGCAGATGCTCTCCGGCAACCTCAGCACCGTCTCAGCGGCGGGGTCAGTCGGGAAGTCGTTGCTGGGCGCGGTCGTTTGGCCATGTGCACCGTCAAAGAGGGTCAAATAGTCGAACTTACTAGGAGCAAAGACGCTACTAGGAGCAAAGGGCATCGCTACTAGGAGCAAAAAGCTACTAGGGGCTCCTTGCCTTACTACTAGGAGCAAGGACGCTACTAGGAGCAAAGGGCATCGC